AAGCATCACAACCTGTCAACCTATAGGTATAGAGAAGGGGACGGATTTCAGGTGTAGATTGGCCTTATGCCAACCCCCAAAACTAGGTTTTAAAAAGAGAAACACAGCCTTTGTTTCTCTGGTTAACCCATCCTTCCTGATACCTTCACCTTTGCAACTTAAGTATACTGCAGGTGATTCTTAAGGAGTTCTCTGGAGTCGCGACCAGAGAGCCCACACGTGTTTGGCTGGACCATTCCGTGTGTTTGTAGAATCCCTAAAGTTAGTACTTTTGTCCCCATTCTCGTTGCTGAGAAGAATTCCTTCTCGACTGGAACTCAGATAAGTTTAAGCGTCACCCTTCTGTATGTTACCTCATTGTCTGTTGAAGTTATTATTTTCATTACTATTTGTTTTCTGTACCTACTGTGTACTGAGGAACTTGAGTGAATCTGTGAATGTATCTGTTTTTCGTGTGCTTGAGAACCACCTAGTAAAGACAACATTTATTCATTAAACCTTAGTGTGTTGTCTCAATTCCTGGGAAATAGGAGCGTTCATTCTGAATCTGCCCTCTGTATACACGGATAAATTACTCACGCACACCCACTACCATACATAAGACAGAGTTGGGCCACGGAACCATCTCGCTAGGAGGAGTTCCGGTATCACGTGTCAATTTCACACAAGCTGCTGCGCGGCCGCATTTTGCCCCGCAGCTTCGCACGATTTTCCCCGCGTATACTCAGTCCTGTTTTTTGAGGACTGAGTAGACGGAGGGGGGGAATCGTGCGAAGCTGCGGGGCGAAATGAGGCTGCGCAGCAGCTTGTGTGAAATTGACACGTACCATCGGGGCAAAAGGGAGGAGTGAGCAGGGAGCAGCGCTTGTGGGAAATCATCCCTTTACGTCTAGAAGACATAACATTCCAAGTCATCCTCCTTCCCCCCTCTTTCCTTTCCCAGGGGAAGGTGTCCTTGAGAAGCTCTCTGTGCCAACCTCGAGTGTGGTATGAATGTGACATGTGCTTGGGGAAAGGGAAGGGGCTTTTCTTTGGTTCTACTATATTAAGCTTGTGCCCACCAAAAGTCTTCAGTTCTGACACAGTGACTTTCTGGATCTTGCATATACCTCAATAAATTTATCACTGCCAAGAGAGAGTTGTTGAGTATAACTGGACCGGGGTCTGATAATGTGGCTGCTTGTGTTTGACTATATTTGGCCTTTTTATCCTTTTCAGTCTTTTCAGCAAGAGTATGTGGTTGGAGGAGTCACATGGGGTAGTCAAAAAGCATGCCAATGAGGCCCACAAAATATCAACTGGAAGATTTTGACATTTACATGCTTCCTCGCTATATCATCTCCAGAGTTGTCAAGGTTCTCTTTGTTTGGTGCTACTGACTAGAATGGTGCTTACGTAGTTAGCATGTGGTTTGATGAGAGGAAATACTAGATGTCAAGAGGAAGAGAAGCTGGTGGTTGGGAAGTGGGAAGTCTACTCATTACCATGTAAGAAGAACAGTACTCCCAGTTTTTGCTATCTTTAAAATACTGGATTAAACTGTGTCATTGTTCAACAGGCACACTCTTCATAATCTTCACAAAGTATTTAACAAGGAAAACAAGATCCTTCAAGACTTTTTACATTGCCCTCACAGTCTGTGCTTTCTGTGTAATTTCTTTTTGTACAGCTATGTTCAAGCGGTTAGAACTATGCAATTTGATTTGTAGTGCAAATAAATCCTACAAACTGAGGATGCTTTCACACACAAACTTTATAAAGACCTATTTTGTTCATTGACAAGGTCGTAGAATTCACAGCTGTCAGTCATCGCAGGCCGGGGGGGGGGGACTGATCCCTGTGGGCTGCACAGTCAGTCAGACCTTTGCAAATGGCTTTAGAAGTGGTCTGAATCATACTAATCCGGATTCACAAATAGCTTCTTCCTTCCTACTGGCTCCTGACAGTCATAGATGTTGCTGCCATTTTGCCTGTTGCCTTTGTAAAGCTTTTTGCACAAGTTGGTTCAGGTGAAGCATGTCCAAGATGATAGAACAAATTTTGAGTCCCGTGGCACCTTTAAGACCAACAGAAGTTTATTCAAGGTATGAGCTTTTGTGTGTACGCACACTTCTTCAATGTGCATGCACACAAAAGCTCATACCTTGAGTAAACTTCTGCTGGTCTTAAAGGTGCCACGGGACTCAAAATTTCTTCTACTGCTTCAGACCAACACAGCTACCCACCTGGATCCATGTTCAAGATGATTTGTTTTCGTAACAGCTATTGGGTTGGGTCAAAAAAGGTACCATTCACCTTGACTTGGATAGCCCAGACAAGCCCAGTTTCATCAGATCTCAGAAGCTAAGCAGGGTCGACTGTGACAAGTTCTTGGATGGGAGACCTGCTTGGAATACCAGAGGTGGGAGGCGGGGGCAGGCTTTATTCAGTCAACTCTCTGAATATCCTCCAGGCCTCCCAGTAGGGGTCAGTCACCAGAGGCCGCCATGACTTCCAGGTGCACATGCACACACACATATTAACAAAATACCAATAATAATAAAAAGGCACCATTCAACTGGTGTAACCTAACTTTTTTTGATCGAGGAGAGAGGACAGTTCCCCTTTCTCACTGCAGATTGTTATTTCCCACCCCACCAACTGTCTCCAACTGATTCCAAGGAGCAGGATTTTGGGGAGCTCAGTGTGCTCTGGATCCAACCCATAGTATGAATAGCAACATACTACCTTTAAAAAGTATATATAATTAATTCTTTACTGAAGAAGAGGAGAGGGGATTGGATTTATACCCCACCCTTCACTACCCAAAGGAGTTGCAGAGCGGCTGACAATCTCCTTTCCCTTCCCCTCCCCACAACAGACACCCTGTGAGGTAGGTGGGGCTGAGAGAGCTCTTTCCAGAACTGCCCTTGAGTGAACAGCTCCGAAAGAACTTGTGACTGGCCCAAGGTCACACCAGCAGCTGCATGTGGAGGAGTGGGGAATCACACCTGGTTCTCCCAGTTTAGAGTCCACACTCCTAACCACTACACCAAACTGGCTCTTTCTTCCCAGTGGGGACCCAAAGCGGCTTACATCATTCTCCTCTCCTCCATTTTATCCTCACAACAACCCGGGGAGGTGGGTCCAGCTGAGATTGTGAGAATGGCCCAAAGTCACCCAGAGAGCTTCCATAGCACAAGTGGAGATTCAAAACTGGGTCTCCCACGTTCTAGTCTGACTCCCAATGCTCCCTTCTAAGCAAAAACGCTACTTTGTGAGGTGCTGACGTTAAGGTTGTGAGTGAGCGAGCGATTTGGCTACTGCATCAATGAGTTTGCTCTGGAGGCCGACTTCCTGGGCTAAGACAAGAATGGGTGAGCTGGCGGCTAAAAAACTGTGAGCTAGCTCACACTAACTCAGCTTAGAGGGAACACTGTACGCAACACAACCAGAGGCTCTTGCTACCTTGTAGGGGCCTCTGGGACAATCTCATACTATGGGGACAATTTCAGGTGCTTGGAGAACATGGATGCATTCCTTTTAACTTTTGTTGCCTTGGTGGGGCAGAAAACAGCACGGAGGAAGTGCATTTGTAGATGCTCATGGCATGAATCACTTAGGCAGAGATTTATATACCCTATTTTACCTTTGTATTATCTCGAGCTCATAGACTAGATGGGATTTATGCGGAGCAGCTACATAACCTAGTGGAGCATCTAGTTTATACTTAGCGTTCTCCAGTGAGAGCTTCAAGTTGTAACTGGAGCTAGGCAGAGATTACATAAACTGTAAATATTGCATGGACAAAATGATTTCTTCATGGATTCTTATAACATTTACCCAACATATGGAGACCACAGATACGGGCTTTTGAACACATGTAATTGAAAAGCATTCTTCCCAGCTGGTAGATGTGGTGCTGTACAAACCTATCAGTGTCCACTAGGTGGCATTGTCCTGAAGTGAAAGTTTGAAGACCCAAGCAGCAACAAATGTATCAGATATTCCACTGATGTAATCATTTTTTTAAAAAATCCAGGTCCTTGTGAATTACAGCAACTACATAAAAAGGAACTGTGCCAATATGTTAAACTAGTGTGAAAAGAAAATCTAACAAATTCTAAATTATTGCCATAGAGTCTGAATAAAATGATGAATAATTCTCTGCTTGCTATGAGATAAGGACTGCCCCTGTGTGAGAAATGATAGCTACAGCCATGTAATCTACTTGTCGCAAAATGGACATGGAGCTGACTACAGAGTAACGAATGTTGTTCTCTGCTTTATCATAGCCTAAGAGAGTGGTCAGTTGCAGTATAGTCATGTGTACAACCTCTCCCTGAATTATACAAATGACCATTTGGAAATGTGAGAGTGAAACACAGCCATGAGTATAGTGTGTGATTCTGTTGTGCAGAAAAACGTTAAGAATGTGATCCTCAGTGCATTATTTCTCCATTTTTGTATTTGTTTTGTTTGTTATTATCCCATTAAGATGGAGGTGATGTTAGTGGGCAAGGCAAATTTTCTGGAAGATTGTGCTGCCTACCCTTGATCCGGTGAGCCTTTGTTGGACAGATTGAGTTAAAAGTTTGGGAGCTTTGTTTGATCCAGCTCTATTGTTAGAGAAACAAGTTGGTATGGTGGCCAAATGTGCATTTTTCCCAACAACAGTTAACACAGAAGATAACGTTTCCTTTGGATTCAGGCAAATGAACCATGCTGTAGAAACTTTGAGACTAGACTATTACAGTGTGCTGCCCATGAAGAAAAAGGAAACTTTGGTCAAAGAAGAATTTTTGCTCACAAGACTCCACAGCTTAGAGGGAACATTGGACTAAACTATTACAGTGTGCTGCCCATGAAGAAAGAGGAAACTTTGGTAAGTCCAAAAGACAGCAACTTGATTATTGTTTGAGTTAGTTATTTTGAACGCATTTTCCCCATCTTGAAATCACTGTATCGGTTGCATGTTTAGTTCTGTGTTCAATTCAAGGAGCTATTTTTAACCTTTAAACTTTTATGATCTGGGACCTACATATTTGAATGACTTTTTCCTGTCTGAACCTGTGTGGCAACTCCAGTAATACAGTACCTTCTCTTCCTCCTGTCATGCAGGCAGGCATGTAAGAACTGCCAGTGCCTGGTTTCAGCCTTTACAGTGGTGGCCCCTACATTATAGAATGTCAGGAAGTCAACTGATCATTAAACAGGTTTCTAAAGCTGAATTATTTAGGAGGGCATTCAGGAATGGTAAATAGGATGAGCAGCTCCCATTTTAGGCCTGACCTTTGTTTTACTAATTATTGTTTTATAATGGAACAGCACGGATCCAAAGCATGGTAAGCAGAGCTGTGCTGCATGAACTGCAATGTTCCTGCCTCCCCCTCCTTCTGCAGTCTTCTAAGACCTCTCCCAAATTGTACTTCTGTGGCTGCATGGGCCTCCCGGAATTCTGTGGGGGTCAAAAGGGGAGCTGCAGGGAGGGGGGAACTGGCTAAAATTGCCCCCCTTCTGCAGGCGGACGTATATAGCATAAACAGAAATGGACATTAGGATCCAAGCCAATTTTGATCTTTGCTTTGAATTGCTTTGACTGCTTCTGGGTGAAGCAGCAAGCTATAAATAATTTAAATATTTGTTTGTTTTTGTTATTATACCTATTCATATTATACCTATTGATATTTATACCCATTCATGTATTTATTTTTGCTATTATTCGTTTTTTTAAAAACTTTTATTGTTGTTTCCATTGGTAACAATGAAACCCCACCCCATTTCTGGCTATATCTTTTTATTTCCCATTCACTTGGATGATATTTTTGGAGAGTGTATCCTTACTAAAGGGTTTCTTTTGCTGAGTTTTATGAAGCTAGGCAACAACAATCCCTATGTTATAGGAAATTATACTTGTAACTTGCAAAGTGGCCACAGGGAGCTACAACAATATTAGTATGTTACTGCGTTTTCCTTCTTTCTAGAGGATCCTCAAGTGTATGTGTGTATGTGCGTGTGCATGTGTATTTTTATTAAAAAATAAAACAAAACACCATATGTGAGGGGAGATAAGACTTGTCCACCCAGCAACTTTGCTTTACCACACTGTGCTCAGCTAATTTATATATTCTCTTCTTGCACTGTTGTTGTCTGAGTGGGAAAATTACATGGCATTCTGCATCCAATTAAAGATGCCAGGAAATCTCAGAAATGTACCCCCCCCCCATGAACACATCTCAGATCCTTCCTCTTCACAAATCTCATTTATCTATTCTGCCCCTACCCAGCTAGGGTTGCCAACCTCCAGGTGGGCCCTGGGCATCTCCTGGAATTACAACTGCTCTTCATAACTGAGAAATCAGTTCCCCTGGAGAAAATGGAAGCTTTGGAGGGTAGACTCTATAACATTATAGCTCTCCCCTCCCCCAACCCCTTCCTCCCCAGGCTCCACAATCTAATCTCCAGGAATTTCCCAACTGGGAGTTGGCAACCCTACACAGCACCTACCTTTTATAGAGTACAAGCAACATTCTGGGTGTTTATTTAGGTTGAGAGGAGTGTTGCACGTACAGTTACACTATCTGTCTGTTTGCAACCTGTCTTCAGAGACTGCATGCAAAATATTTGTCCCTTGAAGGCAGACAGATGCAGCACCAAAGCAGAACATTTGGGGTGGGGCACAAGGTTCAGGTTGCTTGAGTGCAGAATTGTAACACTTTTTTGGGGGGAATGGTACAGAACACACAGAGCCTTGAACATAGTGGTGGTCCATACAGTCATCTTTCCCTCTCGAAAACATTCGCTTTCATGTTGACAAATGGATGAAAGAAAGGTAGAATTTTGATTTGATTTGTCTGGACTACAACTGTATCTCATCAGTTTTACAGATTAGGATGTGAAGCAGTTGGGAGAAGCTGACAAATCTAGACTGTCCATGAAATTCTTTATGAATTAGGGAAACGCAAGAAAAAGAAGAAGAGAAGGAGGAGGAGGAGGAGGAGGAGGAGATTGGATTTTATACCCCGCCCTTCACTCGGAGTCTCAAAGTGGCTTACAAACTCCTTTCCCTTCCCCTCCCCACAACAGACACCCTGTGAGGTAGGTGGGGCTGAGAGAACTCTTTCAAGAACTGCCCTTTCAAGGACAGCTCTGACAGAATTTAAGCTTTCCCAAGGTCATCCAGCAGCTGCAAGTGGAGGAGTGGGGAATCAAACCCGGTTCTCCCAGATTAGAGTCCACGCACTTAACCACTACACCAAACTGTGCATATATGGATCTACTTAATAGGTTATAAACAGGCTGTCTCTTAGGAACAGTATCAGAACACTGAAGGAGATGAATGGCAGACTTACCACTCTTCTATGACCTGGATGCTCTCCATTTTGGTTGTGTGTGCTGGCCTTCCTGTATTGTCCCCTCTTTCTTCATTCCTAACAGTGAGGCTGCAATGTAGTACAACACTTTATTTTGTCTAGAGAAAATTAACTTAAAATAATGAATATATATATTATTTAAAACAATATTGAGGTTTAGCGTGAACCTGTATAGTTAAAGACACATTTTTCTTATTAGTACTTGTAAGCCAAAGGAGGCTCTTCCTTCTTTCCCTGAGAGCGGCTGTTTTCTCCCGTTGCATGCTCAGAGCCCACCCAATGAAACCAGGGTACATGTTTTCACACATTTTAAAAAATTCCACACATTTAAAAACTTTCCCATATTTTTAACTATTATGGCAATTGAGTCTCGACAACAGATTGGATCTTTATACGCATCAGCTTTTAGTATATGGATAGTATATGGATGGCATCAGATTATATTCCTGAATTTATGCAAAATTTAGGATATTTGTATAGGCGTAATCTTCGTGGGGGCGGCGGGGCTTCAGCCCCCGCCGAAATTTTCAGGAAGGTGCTCAGCCTCCCCCGGGAGCCACCCTTGCTCCTAGCAAAGCAATGCCTCTGGCCCAGCCCCAGCCCCCCCCCCGAGAAATTGGAAAGTCTACACCCAAATATGACCAGCTGTTGCAGAGCAGCCCAGGAAAAGCCTTAGAAAAAATATGCTCTAGGCTTTTTAATTTTTTTTTTTAAATTAAGCTTTTATTTCTGTGCTGCTTAGCTGATAGCTTCACTTCTGGTGTTCTTCCTAGTCCATGTTCTACTTCTAGGAGATAACAAAACTTGGTACCATGTGTGTATGGGAGCAGCTTGGGATATTTTTCATTACTCAGAACTAAGGCTGCCAACTGTAGGTTAGGAAATTCCTGGAGATTCCTGGAGATTTGAGGGTGGAGCCTGGGATGGCAGGCCAGGAAACTCAATGAGATATAACACCACCACTAGGATAGCATGTTGCCTCAGAGACCAAGAAGCTCAGCTGTACTGCAAACCACAGTTGCACTGCAGAACTCACTGACTAGTTTCAAGAAGAACCTCCTGCCCCCTAAAATAAAAACCCCTCCATATCCTGCATCTTCTTGCTTCATTTCTCTTGTCAGTCACCTCCTACTTCCAAGCTCCTTGGCCCTAAGTATCTCCCATGAGCCAGACTGTGTCACTTTCATTTTGGATCTTGCACTGGCATGGCACCCGCAGGATAGAGCTAGGACCTAGCCAGCAATATAGCTAGGAGTGATGGGCAGTGAGGCAAAATGTTTCAGGTTTCTGTGAGACTCCAGACTGACATGGAGAGTGGGAATCTTGCTTTTGAAACCCTTACCTATGGTTCCCTAGCTCTGATCTAAATGGCAATGCACTCTTAGAACAAAATCCACCAAATAGTGCTGTTTTGTGAGCTCCGTTTATTTGGTTTGGAGTTGCAGAAACTTAAAGTTCTGTGTTTATCTTTAAGGACTCACACTGTTATTAACGGAAAGTAAGAAGACAAAAAATATATCTGATGGAATGACCTAAGTATACTTGGAGCTTGTCATATGATGGTTAGTGATATTGTCCTGAGAGTTAATCCAAGTCATACATCATCTTAAATGAATAAAATATATGCATCTGAGCTCCAGGAATCCTTTCTTCAGTATTAAGATGTGAGGACTTTGTGCCTTTAAGTTAATAGCACTTTGGCCAGTGGTCTCTCCACACCAAGAAAAACATCATATATGCATCTGAGCTCCAGGAATCCTTTATTCTTCAGTATTAAGATGTGAAGACTTTGTGCCTTCAAGTTAATGGCACTTTGGCCAGTGGTCTTTCCACACCAAGAAAAACATTTGCTTTTCAGCCCCCCATCTGTCCTTGCAGAGACTAATTGTTGAGTACAATATTAATGTCTCTGCCTGAAGACCTATTCCATTCATCTAGAAAGCATAGTGAAAAAGAGTATGTTCCCTGCTTCTCCAAAGAACTATCACAAAGAAATCACATATGTTCACCCTTTCCTTATGTCTGATTCCTATAACTTTTCTGCAAACATGAGATTTCCTCCAGGATTGCAGAAAAGCCAGATTTGTAGCTGCAGTTGGTCTTGTACAGGTTTGGTGATCTGCATGGTTATGGAATAGTACTAAAATAAAATAAAATCCATCTTAAGGTTCAAGTAACATTTTATTGACTAAGATCTACTGAATTTTCATTGGCAGTTCAGCAAATAGCTACTGAATAGCAAACAGACTCCAAAAAGACTAACACTACATTAACGTGTGGAACCAGGGTGAGTGCATGAACCTCTGGACCATAGCCAAGGCCTTGACTGAGTTAGTTATGACCGAGTCCCATGGACACATATGGGATGAGTTAGCCACAACCAGCATTAAGACTCACTGAGTTCAAATGAACCTTACTCATGATGATTACCTTAAACTCAATAGTTCATGCTGACTAAAGACCCAGATTCCAGGAATCTAAATATGTTCCCCACACCTCCTATTATTCACCAATATTGGTAAACCAACATAATAATGCCAAGTATGCAAATCATAGGCAGTGAAACTTATATAAATAATCAACAGAGTCCAAGTGGGAGAGTGCACTATCGGGGATGTGGAGGGGAGGGTGGCCTGAAGAGCAAACCTTAACCACAAAATCAGGCCAAACTACACGTTCGGTTTTTCCTGTGTACATCTTGAGGTTGTGTCACAGACATGTTATGTGAGCGACAAGCTTCCCAGGTATGGGGCCCCAATTTGGATCAGGACCTTCCCCCTTAGACCTTCCCCCTGCAGCACTGTCCCCACCCAAAACAGGACCCGGAGCTGCTATTTGCTCCACTGGGGAAAAACTGATGTGTAGCTTTATCAGTATATGTGGCAAATAAGGACCATTTCTTGTTGGGGAAATGGCATGGGGGGGGGGAAGCTATGCTGCTTCTCCCCATGCACCATGCTCCCAATCCAAAACAGCCCCAAATACACCTGAGAAGCAGCATGTCTATGACCCAATCCAGGGAACTACTTGGCTGGGGGGAATAATATGTAGTTAGACCCTGTAGTCTACTAATGATTTCAGAAGTAAAATGGATAATGTTTTCTTTCAAGATTCATGTGACTGTATATATGGGATAAGATTGGGTATATGTGTGGGGCATATTATGGGACTCAAGAAATGATGCTTTGGCCTTATGCAATAATCTTTAAACTATAACCTTTGAAAAGCATCGGCTAACTAAAAATAGATGTATCCTGGTCATGTGTCAACACATTTATTTATTTACTGCAAAAGGCTTATTTTTAGGCAAATTAAGACAGCGTTCCGTGCGCCTTGGTGTTTAGTCATGCCGGCCACATGACCATGGAAACGTCTTCGGACAGCGCTGGCTCTTCGGCTTTGAAACGCAGATGAGCACCGCAACCCTAGAGTCGGATTCAACTGGCTTTCGAGCAAGGGAACCTTTACCTTTACGGTTTACTTGTGCATATGCTATTTATGGTTCCATCCACATGGAGATGATTCTCTGTGAACCTCTCATCGCTGCTGCAAATGCAGAGGCATTCACAGTGGCAACAAGGAGGAGTCCACACATTTCCCCTGTATTGCTCCCCTACTAAACCACAGGAGAAATGGGGGGGGGGCTTTTAAAAAATTGGTAATTGCTATGGACTATTAGCACAGTAATGTTAGAAACTTCTGTTGCCCTCATGTACTTGTTCCTCTGAAAGGGTTGTTTAAAAAGAATTCAGAGAAAGTAGAAGTGGCTAACGAGTATTGCAATTTGTGTGGCTAAAGAGTATTGCAATTACTGTGGTGGTGGTGTTTTTTTAAAAAAAGAGCCATCTAGTGGTACTGGGGGAAACTGCAGCTGTGGGGGCTGAGGTGAAGAAAATGGCTTGGATGTGGCTGGGGTTTCTGAATATGCACACCTTCCCCTTGCTAATGTACTTTCACTGTGTTCTTTTCTGAAAGATCATACTAATGACAGGAAAAGTGTGGAAAGTGGATGATTAGAATATGGCGTTGTGTGGATGGATGCTCCAAAAAACAATAAAGCCCTCTTGCAGTTTGGAAGCCAAAGTGGAGAAAACCTCCGTGTGGGTGCAGTCCAAGTGTAGTAAAGCCAATTGGGGAGGGGGGGAAATCAAAGAAAATTGGTGTATAGCAATAATTATGTGGGCTAGAAAACTGCAGATGGTATAGCACAGCGGTTGAAGAGCATGACTGGAAGTCCCTAATGCAAATCTCTATTCTGAAATGGATTTTCTAGCAAGCTACACTATCTTTCAGCCTCACCTTCCAGACTGCTGGTATAGGGCAACACTAGCCCTGTTGATAAATTACAGTGAATGCATGTAAAATCTGTGTATCGCGTATACTTGATTTTTCTTTATACGAGCATTGAGTAATTCTCATGTTACATTCAAGAAATCTGTACCTGAATGTGTGATTGAAACGGCACATTTATCCAGCTACTGGTCCCCAGTTTTATTTGTAAAGTTAACAGATGCAGGATTTGTCAGCATTCACTGTGGTATGAATACTAGGGTTGCCAGATCTTATCTGGCTGCCTGGTTCCAGAATCTTCTGGTCACCATAGAGTTTTAACCCAAATGCTAGAGTGTCCTCCGTACAACGTGCCTGGTGCAAAGATGTCACCTCCGGGTGATGTCATTATGCTGGGCATGTCAGGTGCGACAGGGCTCTCCAGGGTTGGGGTTCTCCCCGGCTGGCCAGCTGGCTGTTGGTGGATTGAGCAGGGTGTTGGACTAGATGGCCTGTATGGCCATCCAGAGGGCAGCCCCCCTGCTGGACATGACATCAGAAGGGATGGCGCTTGGGAAGTGACATCACTTGACCTGGAAGTGGCATCACAGGATGTGACATCACAAAAGTGATGTCACATCCTTTCTCCTGTCTTCACCCCCAAAGTCTCCTGGCTCCACCCCCAAAGTCCTCAGATGTTTCCTGAGTCGGACTTGGCAACCCTAGAGGAAGGTGTCTGTTTAATTGGATCTAATACAGCTGTAGAATGTCAGAGCTAACATGCAATCTTACATGACTGG